GTGGAGACGGGGGAGGAGAGGATTGGATGAGGGGAGCGGGTGTAAAGACGGCGTTGGGCTCGCAGAGCTAATGGTCGCACGCATTACACATGCAATGATTGGCCAGATACACACAGAAAACACGATGCACGTGATTCAACCTAGCAGTCGCACGGAATCGGATTAGTGATTTATGTCTTGTTTTCAGATGGTATAAAACCCAATGCAGGAGAAATCCAACGAGACAGTCCAAACGCTGTCGCTATGCAATGTCGGCTTGTCTGTACTACACAATGTTCTCAGAGCAACATGTAAATCGTGCCTGCAATTCAAGTTGTCAAACAGTGCAATGCAATGCAACTTGCCCAACAGTGTCTCAGAACCATCCACAACGCAATGCAACGCAAGCTGTCCAACACTACGCAATGTTCTCAGGCCTACATGCAACTTGCATGCGTCTTCGGCCTGTCGCGCGAAGGCTGCATGGGGGCCCCCCAATGGGGGTGCGTCCGCAGACAGCTTGGGCATGAGGCCACGTACGCCCCCCACCCCCCGCCGTCCGTAGCAATTTTGGTTCAAGTTCAAGCCGTCCCATTTCCGCGTCTTCGCGTCCATTGGCAGTGGATTTCACTGCCGCCCACATGCCCGACTTGCCTGTCGCCGAGAGCGATCGCACCTCAGGTCGCAGCCGCTCGCCTCAGCCCTCCGAGCCGCCGCCTCGCGGGCCCGTCACCAAAGCGGATGTGATCTCCCGCGCCCACTGGTGCCAGACGAGGATCGTGAAGGCCGAGGGTAAAGTGTTCAAGCTTCGCGGGGGGCTGTTCGCACTCAGGGCCTATGTCGAGAGGGTCATGGGCGAGGATGGGGAGATGCCTGGGGATGCCGAGGCTTTGCCTCGCGGCGCCTCCAGCTCGCTTGGATCGGACTGAGCGCGCGCGGCTCGCCTGAGAAGGATGACCCCCCCCCCCCTCCCCTCGATTGAAACGGACGAGCCTCCCCCTCCTCAGCCTTTGTGCGGCGTAGGGCGCACTCGCCTCTCCGCGCAGTCGCGCGGCCATTGCCATTGCCAGCGGTGGGTGGCGTTCGATAGTTCCATATGCAGACGCGCACCCCGGCGCCGGCAGCGCCCCCCCCCCCCCCGCGGCGCCCGAGAGGAAAACGCAGGCCCAAAAGGGCCCCAACATGGCCCCCGAGAGGGCCCACGAGGCTCAGAGAGGCCCCAGAGGGGTCCCAGGCGGGGCCCCAGACGCGGAACCCCAACACATTAAATTATTGCGTTGGGGGGGGTGGGGCGGGCGCGGGGAGGGGAGGTTGAATGTCTGACCCATGCGCCTTGTCTTCTTTGCCCCACTCGCTCGCTAGCGACTGATATCGCATCCCCCCGCCCTGGCCGCATCCGCATCTGCAGGCATGGGCGCCATATATGGAGCTGGTGCTGTTTAAACGTGCTGCAAGTGCTTGGCCGAGTGGAACGGCCACTGCAACAAGTTCGCTCGTCAGAACTTGATCGCTGAGATCGCTGAGGGGCCCGCGGCGCCCGCGGGCGCGGCTTACTTCGCGTGCGCAGCGTGCGAGGCGGACGCCCCGTGACGGCGGCGTTTCCTCGTCCGCGCGCGCGAGAGAGCGCCCTCGCCATTCCCTCGCATCTATTGCTGCCGCGCGTCCAGCCCATGCATAGCGCGCGTCCGAGTGTCCGAGTGGTCTCGGCCCTCCCGTGGCGCGCGCGAATGTCGAGTGTGTCTCATACTGTGCGCGGTATTCCAGTTGCGCAGTTCAACGCAATTGCATTGCTCATTGCTGCGCAGTGCGTTTGGGCAGTCGCTGCAAACAGCACGCGCGATGCGCACTTGCATACATATCACGAGATCGATGCCGACCTCGTTGCATGGCGCACGACGGTCGCTGTCATCATGCGATGTTGCGTGTCAGGATGTTGGCCATCTTGCGTCTTGGCCCTAGCCATCCGATGGCTAGGCTACGTGGGACCTAGCCACATGATGGCTAGCCCCTAGCCATCCCATGGCTAGGCTACGTTGGACCTAGCCACATGATGGCTATGCCCTTAACCATCCCATGGCTATGCTACGTGTGACCTAGCCACATGATGGCTAGGTCTTAGCCATCCCGTGGCTAACCCCCAAGGGGGGCCTAGCCGCATGATGGCTAGGTCTTAGCCATCCCGCGGCTAGCCCCCAAGGGGGGCCTAGCCACATGATGGCTGTGCCTTAGCCATCCCATGGCTAGCCCTCAGGGGGCCTAGCCACATGATGGCTAGGTCCCACGCTGGGCTAGCCATCTGGCGGTTAGGCCCCGCGTGGATCTGGCCATATGGTGTCTAAGCGCAGTGGGTTTTCACCGTCGATCATCTCTGTGTAACCGCGCCTGCCACGCCGCGCGGGTTGCACCGCGCGCGCGCCGCCGCCGCCCGAGTTCGATTTCTATATGCGGAGGCGTGGTCCGTTTGGCAACCGTGCTGCGCTCGTGCGATCGGCGCAGCGGGCCCGCCTGCATAATGGGCGGCCAGCATGCGTGACTGTGCGGGCGCGGTGGGCCCCAGCTTCTGCTTCGAGCTCTGCGAGCACTGGCGCCCGCTTGGGCGTGATTGCCGGGTCGGGTGTCCTATCTGCAGCAAGTTGCACCCCCGCCCTCTCTGGTGCGCTGTCGACGTTGTTGCCGACGCTGTGCCGTAGCCGTTTTGGCTTCGAGAGCTTGAGGTGCATTCTGTCCGCGGCGCCCGCGAGGCCGCATTGCTTTCCACCGACCAGCACGACGCTGCCATGGACATGGTCGCGGTGGCGCCGCCAGGTCCGAGTGACGGCCCGAGCTTGGAGGCGCCGTGCAGCATCCACGGTCTATGGTCTGATAAGAACCAGCGCGTGAGAGAGGTGCCTGGATGGGAGGATGTCTCGGGCACGGACCACAGCCAGGCCGTGGGCAACGTGTTCTTGCACGACGGCAGCGTGCACGTCAACGTCTTGAAGAACGGCAAGTGGACGTGCGTTCGCCATCGCTTGAACCAGAGGCTCTCCTCCTCCCTCCTCCTCCTCCTCGTCATCCTCCTCCTCCTCGCTCATCAGCTCCCGCGCTGTCACTCTCGTCCCCCCCCCCCCCCCCCCCACCACCCTTGCCAATCGCAACTTCTCGGCCTGGGTCGCGCACCCGCCCCCCCCCCCCCCCCTCCCCGCGCCCCGCCCCAGGGGCGGCGAGTCGACGGGGCTCGAGCGCCAGAAGAGCGCGGAGGCGATCGGCGCCCTCCACGAGCTCCGCACGGGCGCTTGGTTCTGCAAGATGAAGGGGGACAAGGACTTGCCCCGACCTCCCTTCCCATCCCCTTGCCCCTTTTATAGTATCATCGCGTCTCAGGATACGCTGCACTTCCCCCACTGGGCGAGCCTCATGGGGGGGGGTCAAGAGGGCGAGGGACAACGACCCCCAGAAGAGCAACTCGCTCGTCCAGGCCGCCATCGCCAGTGGCATCCCCTCGTCGAAGGACGCGCGCTCGGCCCGATGCCTTCAGATTTAGCCTTGCTTACCGAGGCTTGGTTTGGCCTATCTTATTTTAGTTTAGCTAAGCTTACCTGAGCTTAGCTTCGTCTAGCGTTGCTCAGCGTATTTTAGCTTAGCTTATCAGAGCTTATCTTGGCTTAGCCTAGCGCAGCGTAGCTTATCTTAGCTTAACTAAGCTTAGCAATAGCTTAGCTTAGTTTCGCTTAATTTAGCTGTACGTTTAATGCTAGTTTTAGCGTAGCTTAGCTTAACCTTGGCCTTGGCCTCAGCCTTAGCTGTCGCCTTGGCTGATAGCTTCGCTTTCAGCTTAGCTTTTGGCTTAGTTTAGCTTGGCGTAGCTTCTTTCTTCCCCCTTTCATATCTGTCCGACAATCCTCTCAGCCTCTCTCATCGACCGTCTGTTGCCTCGCCCTGGGGGCTGCTGCCCGGGAGTGCAAGGCGGGCCTGCCTGCTTACGCGTGCAAGTACTTAGTTGAGAAGGGGAACGAGTTCAACAGGTGCGCCTCTGGGACCACGTTCCTAGAGGTGCTCGCCAGCACGGAGCAGATCGAGAACGCTTTCGCCCAGGAGAGTGCGAGAGAAAAAAGAGAGAGAGATAGATAGAGAGAGAGAGAGAGAGAGAGAGGATATACATATATATATATATATAGAGAGAGAGAGAGAGAGAGGGAGAGAGAGGGAGAGAGACGGGATATATATATATATATATATATACACACACACACGTGGGACCACGTGGCCGACCACGTGGGGCCACGTGGAACCACGTGGTCGCCCACGTGGTGGACCACGTGGTGGACCACGTGGGATCACGTGGCGGCCCACGTAACCTAGAAATTGGACGCGACCTCCCCTTGGGAGGAGGCTCTGTCCCAAGGGGAGGTCGCATTCGAATGTCGGCAGGGGCCCTAAAAGGCCCCAGACCCAGAAATTTCATGCGACCTCCCCTTGGGAGGAGGCTCTGACCCAAGGGGAGGCCCAACTCAAATTTCAGAGAGGGCTCGGGGAGGCCCCAGCCACGCCAGAAATTGGGCGCGACCTCCCCTTGGGAGGAGGCCCTGTCCCAAGGGGTGGGAGGGGGGGGGGGGGGGGGGGGTCACATTCAAATGTCGGCAGAGGCTCTGAACGGCCCCAGCCACGGAGTATGCAAGGACCACAGAGAGAGAGAGAGAGAGAGAGAGAGAGAGAGAGAGAGAGAGAGAGAGAGAGAGAGAGAGAGAGAGAGAGAGAGAGAGAGAGAGAGGGAGAGAGAGAGAGAGAGAGAGAGAGAGAGAGAGAGAGAGAGAGAGAGAGAGAGAGAGAGAGAGAGAGCGAGAGAGATTGAGAGAGAGAGAGAGAGAGAGAGAGAAAAAGAGAGAAAGTGTGAGAGAGAGAGAGAGATAGTACACTGACAGCCTCGCATATGGGAAATCCCGCCAGAAAAAAAAGTCGATGAAGTGGACCGTGGCTTCGTGTGGTCAGAGCAACTTGGAGTCGCGGAAGTTCGCGATGGCCTGCTCGCTTTTCCCACGCAGGTGGTTCAACAAGCGGTATTATGAGAAGTGCAACATATTTCTCAACTTGGCCAACGACCCCGACAACTTCGTGATGCACGGGGGGCAGTCCATGACCCTCTGGGCGGCCTTGAACGCCCGCTGCCAGCAGCACGTCGACTTCAAGGCTGACGCCGCGAACCGCCACTACCAGATCATCGATTCGCTCTACGCGGTGTGCCCGTTGGCGAGGAACGGCTGCATCCAACAGGCTTTCGAGGTGATCCAGCTGTCGCTCCCCGCGTTGCCGCTGAGTTTGAAAGTCCTGGCGGCCAGCGCCATCTCGCCCGAAGGCGTCGACCAGAGCAGGGTGCACACGCTGGCCGAGGACATGGCGCGCAAGCTCATGGTTGATATGCACGGGAGCGGGACGGAGACGACGTTGAAAGCCAACTGCGCCAAGTGGGAGAAGAAGCAGTCCGAATTTCGCGCGTCGGCCTCGCTCCCCGCGGCGAGTGCCAGGCCCCCAGCGAAGCAGAAAGCCCGAGGCAAGGCCAAGAGCGCCGCGGCGAAGGTCGTCTCGACGTCGGCGATGGTGCTGGGGGCCGATCAGCCAGAGGACGTTGTCGGGGTGGGCGCGCAGTGGACCTTCCTCGATGGCTTGGGCGCCTTCTCGAAGAACATTCTCAAGGCGCATCCGAGCTTCACGGGGCTTGGCCCATTGCGGATGATTGCGCTCTTCGGCGCTCTGTCTGGGGTCGTCGACCTCACAGTGAACGGCAAGAAGATCCCCGTGAGCAAGTGGTCCGCTGTTCGGAGGCTCGCCAAGGCGCGCGTCTACAAACTCGCCCGCTTGGTGCCGAGGATGTCAGACCCAGATTTCTCGATCGAGGAGAAGACGCTAATGGCTGACGGACAGGCGGCGGCTACCGCATCCATCGCCGATGATGAGACGAAGCGGAATGAGGACGCCGCGGCCGCCGCACAAGACTTCTTGGCCGCAATTCCCATCATCATTAATTATTTCGAGACGAACTCTGCCAAGTTGATGCCGATTGCCAGCCACGTCCAGGGCGCCCTCTCGACCCAGAAGTGCATGATGGCCGATGGGCTTAGGGGTCAGAATGTCATGCAACATGATATAGCATACCAGTACATACTAAATTTTTATATGTCAGGATGCCGTATGATATATCATCATATAAGTCTTTTGGTCTCTTAGTCTTATGCTTTCTAGGCCAGAAACCAATTCATTTCTGAATAAAATATTGACGCTCGATTTGGGGCTGTTCAGAGGCTCTTAAGGTCCTCGAGGGCGGGGCCCCGTTCTCGGATCGCACCTGACAAATATGGTGTGAGGTAGTATGATATAACGTAACGTAAGTTATTATAACTTAAGAATTAGCCCCACTCCTTGCCCTGCTCAACCCCGAGTCCACTGCCCCGCCCGCCCGCTTCCCCGCCCAGGCGGCCATGCAGCACCTCGCGATCGGGGGCCTCAAGGAAGTCCAGGAGAAGATCCTGCAGTGCATCTTCGAACAGGTAGAGTCAGACATGGACGTGCGGGAGGAGACACTGTCAATGGGCTATGCTTCCTACAAGCAACTGATTCAGACAGGTATTATCCTGTCGAAGCTCCAAAACTATGACTTGCTAGAAAGGGCCGGTGTTTCCGCCGATGACGCCCGATGCATCAGGCTGCAGATGGCGCTGCACCTGATCGTCTCGCTCGCGCCCATGTCGGTGCACCTCAACCAGGGCGAGCACGTTTCCAAGCATCCCGCGTTCCCGACTGGCGTCTCGACCCTCGCTGCAAAGTGCAGGGATGCGATCGACTTGTCTTCGCGCCCCTCGAGCGCGCCAGAATTCGCGAGGGTGCATGGCGCATCCAATGCGAAGCTCCACGTGCTCATGGCAAAATGGATGGAGCACGCCATGGACGTGCGCGCAACTCTGGAGACGCACGCTTATAAGAGCGCTGAAGACTTCGCGCAGCAGCGGCAAGGTTCGGTGGATGCCTTCGCGAAGATGCAGAAGGCTATGCTCCAGAAGTACATGCGCGACAACGGCATCGAGCTAGAAGTGCCTGCGAACATCGACGTCTTCGCTGGCATTCGGGGGTCGTTCGCTCGCAAGCTGGCCGACTGGGTCGCGGGGGACAGAGTGAAAGAGGTCACGCTGCTCGAGGTCGACGACGCGGGGCGGTCCGACTACGTCGTGAACAAGCTCGCAGTGCACTTCGGCGTCGCCGACGCCGCCGCTGCAACGGGCGCGGGCGGGGCAGGCGCGGGCGGCGGCGCTCCCGACTCGGCCTCGCAGCCCATGGACAACATCAGCAACGCCATTGTCTCGCAGCTGGCCGAGGTCCCTGATGACGATCCGATTTGCAAGAAAGATTCCAAGGCGCGGTCTCTGGGCTGACTGCGCCATCCAACCCTCCCCCAACCGCCGCCTTCCCCAGCCTCCCCTGCCATCTGCCCCCTGTCTCCCCCGCTCTCCGCCACCGTCCGCCCCCCCCCCCCCCCCGCCCCCCTCTCCTCCGCCCTCTGCCCTTCTCTCTCCGCCCCCCCCCCCCCTCCTCCACCTTCTGCTCCGAGGCCCGAAAACCATCACTTCATTAATTTTGGGCCCCAGGGCCCACTGAGGCCCCAGGGCCCCCAGATTAGTGAAGTGATGCTCTGTCCCACGTAAGGACCCCGAAACGCATCACTTCACTAAGCCGAACCCAGGGCGAAAGTCAGGGGCCGAATTGCTGCTGTGATGCTACATCGGCCTCGCACCTGCCCTTGCCCGCCCCCTCCCCCCGCCAGGTGCCCCTCGACAAGCTGTGCGCCTACGTGACAACGCCAGAGATGAAGCGGGATGAGGAGGGGGCGCCCCCGAATGCATCCTACTCCGAGGGGCTGCTGATCATCCACAAGGTCCAGAGCTATTTCGCGCCGCCGATCGGGACTAGCGGCATGGGCTCGGACCTGGACAAGATTCATGTGCACATGACAGGGCGCGGCGGCTTCCTCGCGCAGATTGCCAAGGGGCCCCCACGTTCAAGCTTTTTTTTTTTTGGGGGGGGGGGGCGCCGCGTCGTGCGCCAGCGTTCCCGTGAGTTGCCTCCTCCACATCGGGAACGCGTGCGGCATTAAGCTATTCCTCGACGGCAGCAAGTGCGTCAACGTGGAACGGTCGGACTTCTGCCCTGGCCGCTGCAAACCCTAAACGGCATCAGCGCCCTTCCCCCCCGCCCCCTTGCCACGGGAGAGGATGAGGAGGAGATGTGGGGGATGCGGGGGAGAGAGGGGGGGGGGGGGGATTTGCGCGCAGACAGAGGGGGGGGGGGGGGGGGCAGCTACCCACTGGCACCTTTGCATCCATAAATTCGCCCTTGCGCCCAATGGCGCCGCATCGTCGAACAAATGCACGCGGTGGGCGGCCCATGCCAACCCCTGCATCCGCGTCCGCCCGTTCTCCAGGGGGCGAGGCTGAGATAAGATGAGAGGGGTGATGTAATACCAGGTGATATAATATAAGATATAACATAATAAGACAAGGTCGGGTAGTACTAATCAATCATATACGGCTTGGTGAGATTAGGTAAGGTAAGATAATATAAGATAAGGGAAGATATGATCACATAATATAGATGCACGGCATCATGTCGTAACATAGCAGAAGGTAGTATAGTGCAAGGTGAGGTGAGATATGACAATGTAGGATACTATAAGATAAGGTAAACGAGATAAATATATGATAATATCGGATGATATATGGTAATACATTATAGGATAAGATGTGGTAAGGCAAGGCAAGGTAACTTAATACAAGATTGGGCACGCTAGGGCAATATACGATATGATAATATAGGCTAATGGGATATGGTAGGGTAGGAAGTCGGAAGACAACATAAGACAAGGTGTGATAATATGCAATACTATAATTCGTGATGGGGTACGGTCGTGTAAGATAACGTAATATATGCTATAACAAGATATATGCAGGATAAGATAACACAACATAGCATAATAGGAAATAAAAGCTGCTTCCCGAGGCTGGGCGGTCCAGTCGGTCAACAACTCGCTCGCTGAGGAGCCCGCCGATGAGCCCGCGGGCAGCAGCGCCAAGAAGCGCAAGCGGGCCGAGCCGAAGCTCATCACGCATGCCGCGATGTTTGAGCAAGAGAGGCTGCACGCGGTGAGCCGCGACATTGTCTTCAACGCGCCAGCGATCGCCCCCCTGGGCGGGCTGGCTGGCGAAGTTGTGATCGGGGGCGCGCTCGGGAGGCAGGCCGACCAATTCGCAGACGGCTCGGTCCCAGAGAAACACAGGAAGCAGTCGAAGTCTCACGAGTTTGCTCTGCGCTAAGCCCCGCGGGTCGCCGGGCTGCCGAGCGATAGATGACGGGGGGGGTGCGGTCGAGGTGCGATTTGTTTAGGAGAGAGAGTGAGAGGGAGAGAGAGAGAGAGAGAGAGAGAGAGAGAGAGAGAGAGAGAGAGAGAGAGAGAGGGAGAGAGAGAGAGAGAGAGAGAGGGAGACGACGACGACGACGACGACGACGACGACGACGACGACGACGACGACCCGGCGCTGCGCCTCAACATTTAGATGCGTCTATTTTGGCAAGCTGGCGGCGTTCCCGCTGCGTTGTCCTAGCGAGCGGGGGCATGGAGGCTGCTAAGGGCGAGCGCGAAGATAACTAGGATCAGTCTAGTGGGTGCGAGGATCTGGAGAGGATTGGCGCGACGATGCCTGCGGAGCCTGCGGAGCGAGTGCATGGGCGTCACGCTGGCATCCACCTTCGGATGCGCCGTGGCCCGAACCCCAGCAGAGTTTTTTACAAGGCAGCGCTGTGCTGCCGCCTGGCCGCCCCCCGCGCGCTGCATACATGTGCGCGCGCAGGTGACCGTGCCTAAATTGCCGAACATTTGGCCAGCTTGAAAAATGGAAAATATCATTCCTTCGCGTCTTCGTGGTTGGCCTGATCTGACCTCCAACAGTTACGTCATTAGACTACGGCATAGCATTGCGTGCACCCCATGTTCCATGCATCCAGAAGGCTCGCGCCACCCCCGCCGACCCCATCCCCCCCCCCCCCCGCGCCCTCCCCCCCAGCCCCCACTGAGGCCCCCTCGCCACCGCCCCGAGAGCCCCCCCCCTCCCCCCCCCAGGGCGACGGGGTTTCGGGTGACGAACCAAAAAAACGAGGGATGCTATGACCGATAGCGGCGCAACCAATTTACTAGTTCGACGCTTAATCATCATCATCTTCATCATCATTTTCGTCGTCGTCGGCAGCATCGCCATCGTCATCATTATCATCATCAACTTGTTGATATGTACTGTAGCTGCTGTCTATGATCTCCGCGTCGTGGCCACGCGCTGCATATTGCCGATGCCCCCTCGCCCCCCCCCCCCCCCGTCATATCATCATCCGTCATTCGGTGTTTGTTAAACCTCGAAGCCTTGCGGGCGGCGCTGCCGCTGGGGCCACGTTGCGCGGCTGGCCGCGTCGCTGGCTCCTTCTGCACGTGGCCGCGTTCAATCATGCGCATCGGATTTTCGCAAAAGCTTGCAAGCCGCGACCGTTGGGCTGCGATTGAGGTTGGGCCATTACCTGCGGCACTATAATGCCAACGGCTACTTTCCGAATCGTGACTCCCGATTTTCAGTTTTTTTTTTCATTATGCGCGTGTGAGGCCAGAGGTAAGGCCGCCCAGGCCAAGCCAAGACAAAAGCTATGCCTTCTGCAGACACAACATCTCACGATGAGCCGTATTCAGGAGATTATGAATGGTGTCGCTCGCTCCCATTTCTTTGGGGCATGTCACGAAGGAACACTCATTCTTTTTTCAGATAGTCATGAAGCACGACTATTCGCGCCCATTTCTGGGTGAACATTTGGGATCATGACTGCTCCATCCCATTGCTTGAGATATACTTGGAATTGTGTACGCATGCTCTTGCACATCGGAATGGACAACGAGATTCGCGACATAGATGTCACCAGCGATTGGTGTCGCATATCGGTCAGGAAAGCATGCGATGCGCACCGCCGCGTGCACGCTCATCAGGCGCATGGTTTTGACCGGCATTATCCACGAGAGCCACCACAGGTATCTGGTAACATGTCTGGTCAGGGTGTCGGTTTAAATTCTATGCCTTAAGTGCTCCAACACAGGGTTTGTCACAGTTTTCAACGCAGGTTTTGATCATGCGAGTAAGTGCTACCGCGTCGACACTTCGGCCTCGTTCTTTTCCTCGTCTGTCAATGGACCAACCAGATCTTCTTGTTCAGTAGTGATCGCCGCGAAAGCACCCGCATGACAGGTCACCCGCGCCACCAACTACACTCTGGCAGTAACTACCTCCAAAATACCAGTACTAACAGGACCCCGGCTGGCGCTCGGGAGCGCACGCGCGGGTGGCCATCGCGCAGGGCGCGACCCCTTCAACCTCGCGCGCCTGCGGCGGCGCATCCTCGCTCCAATCGCGGAGGTCTCGTCCAACGATCCCGCGCACTCCGATGCCCATGCCGACCTGGTATCGATCATCGACAGATTTTGGGTGAGTCTTGCTGGATGGCCGATGTGCCAGGCCATGGCTGCCCCTCGCGTCGTTGGTCTGCCTGAAGCGATGTCCGAACAGAAAGTCGGTGATCATGCGGCTCATGTGTGCACCTTCGCTCAGAGACTGGTAAAGCCCTCCGAACACCAGAAGATCCCGCGGCAAGTCTTCGAGTCAGATGCCTTCAGGTCGCTTCTCGATTCTGCCGTCGGGACCGCATGCTTCGCGCGGGCCTTGAAGCTTTTGGTTCAGCTTCTGATCGCCAGGCAGATTGCGCATGCCGGTCGGCCGGCTTCGGTCTGCCAATCCGACGGCAGTGAGCTTCCTCGCGGTTTCCTCTGGCACGGTGCAGCTGGCACGTGCTCCGTCCTTTGAGCAGCGGAGCGAGGCTATGCGTCGTCGGCACGTTGATCAGCGCCGTCTGCAATTGGAGGCTGAGCTGGTGGACCGCGCTGCTCAGCAACTACATCACGAGCTCCACGCGCTGGAGCGCCGCGCCCTCTAGCCTCCACTTTCGAGACGCCTCGTCCTCCGAGGGGCCATGTCCCCCGCCGGCGCCAGCGACGCGGCCGCGGACCAGACGCAAATGCACGGGCGGTTGCTGGAGCACTGGGAGGCCGCCTTCAAGGCGAAGTCGATCGACCGCGCACTGGCTGCGCAGTACACCTCGAAGCGCGTCTCGAAGCTCGACTTCAAAAAGCTCGACCCGCCTTCCCCCGCGTTGCTCAAAATCGTCGCGCGGCGGCTCCGTCACTCGGAGCATGGGCTGGACGGCGCCCCCTACTCGGCCTGGTGCACTACTCCCACCGGGCTCGACATCCTGTACGACGACACGATGTGGATCCTCACGGGACAAGCGTTCTTCAAGGACTCCAATGACACGCTGCAGGTCCGGCGCCCCAAGGGCGACGAGCCGGCCGACTCAGCCTCGCTCGGCTGCGCGCTTGCGCCGTCGGCGGTCAGAGTTTTTGGCTTGGGGAATACGGGCGACAAGATCATCGCCGCCACCATCAACGTTCGGTTCAGCGCATTGCTCATGGACTGGGCCCCGCGGTCTCGGTGGGGATTCGCCCCAGCGAGGAACTTCGGCTTCAATATCCTCGGGCTGGACACTTTGGGCAAGACCTACTCGGGTGCCCCGAGACTTCGTTGCCGCCTTCCCGATCCTCTCGCCGGAGTTCACGTGCCTTGTCTTTGTGGTCATGGAGGTTCCCGGGGCCTTCTTCTCGGTGATCGGCTAGCTGTGTTCGGGATTGGAAGAGATCGCGACGGTACATAATGTTCCGATTCACGCGTGGTGGGTCACCTCAGGCATCGACCAGGGTTGCCACCTCCGGATCCATCTACGCGGCCGCCGCCGGCCGCCCTCTTTCCGTGTCCGACCGGCCTTCAAGTCAGGCTGGAAGCGCCTCGCAAGGATATTGCGAGGCCA